TCCTCATATTTGGAGAGAAGGTAATGCTTGTGCTGATTTTTTAGCTCGTTTGGGAGCTGGTTTAAATTCTTTAATCTGTTATGATAATTCTAATATTCCTGTTTTACTTAAAGGAATGATTAGATTAGACAAAAGTGGTTTACCTTATTTGAGAAAATGAGGTTTTTTCTTTGCTGTAATGGTTTCTAGAATCCTTTTGGTGCTCAGTTCTGGACTGATATGTTGGCCTGAGCTGCTGGTATTTCTAGGACTCTAGTTTCTATTATGGCTTGTCTGCTATTCTATCTGACTTTACTATTTTGGCGTGTATTTTTTCTGGACGACTTAATTGATTTGTTTACTCTCTCTGCCCTGGTCTAATTCTTTTAGTACCCGTGCAGTTTTGATTTTATTTTGCAGGATTGGAATTTAAGGATTTAAGTTGCTTGATATTTTTCAATTGGTGATAGAATTTGTTTAATTTTGGGTTTGTTAATTATGGATTAAGCTGATGTCTCAGGCTGTGAAGTTTGGATTTTGTGAAGGAATTGAGTTGTTTCTCATTTAGTTTTTGGGCTGTTTGATTTAGTGCTGATGGATGTTTTTGGCTTCTAAGGGCTGGATCTTATTTCTCTAAGGGCTGTTTCATTTCTGAGCTTTTTTATTCAACTACTTTGGTCTTAATTTTGCCTGTGTAGTTTTGATTTGTTTTGCAGGTTGTTGGTATATGTTGTTGTTGCAGAATAGATTGAAGGAAGAGTGAAGATGGAAAGGGGTTTGATGATAGTGACTTGGTTTTGGATTTGGATGGAGTCAAAGATGGAGCTGCAATTTTGATTGCTGTGGTTTTTTTGTGATTGTAATTAGACTGAGACTTTAGGCTCATTAGATTTTTTATTTCTTTTTGTATTTTCTTTTTCTTTTAATTGTATTTTATTTTTTAGTTGAGCCTTTAGTCTCTTTAAGGACTTGTTGTAATATCTTTTTTGTATTAACACGTAACGCTAATAAACTAAAACTAAAACTAAACTAAAAACTAAACTAATAAATAATAAAACTAAACCTAAACTAATAAAAAATAAATAATAAATAATAAATAATAAATAAACTAAACCTAAACTAAACTAAACCTAATAAATAATAAACTAAACTAATAAATAATAAAAATCACAAATCAAATGTATAAAAAAAAGGAAGGGCAATTTCACTATAGATCACGACAAACAAAAAACTTCATTCCCTAGAAAATATATTGTACGAGTCACTATAGCCATCAAGCAACGATTGGGTTTTACCATTTTGTCAAATTTCAGTAAAACATATTACTAATGACCATTCAAGCTACGTGAGTATCGCATCATTGCTAGCTCAATATTTTGACTGTCATCATATGACAATCAATACAGCATTGGCGCTCACAAGTGCCTCGGTCAAGCTTACACATTTGACAAATTTGAAATGGAAGTTAAAAGGCAAAACACCTCTTTTTATATTTTTATATTCATTGGACAACATTGTTTATATGTAGAAGAATAATTTTGATTTTGTTTTGGATGACAACAGAATCCACGCATAGATTATCAAATTAAGGTTATAATACTCGTTAGAAGATTATGTGGCAATCTATTGAAATGCCAGATGTCCTCACCTAATTAGTAAAGCATTTTTTTTTTCTGTTTTTGGAAGTAATGAGGGCAGAAGGCCCGATAGCATTGTTTTGCCGTTAACATCCAGTAAAGCAATAACACCTTTTGCGGTTAAAAAAAAAACATTTTCTTATTTAACTGCTCACAAAGAAGAAATCGCATGCAACTACGATCAAAGATTTTAGCCTAAAATATCATTATTATTATTGTTTCATGAGGATGAGGTAAAAGAAAAGGGTGGGGCTGATATGTAGACAATAAAACAACAAGAAAAGTAATCGAGCAGCAGCCACCAAGGAACAAAAAAGCCCACAATTCTTTTTTTTCTTTTTTATTAAATCTACATTTGAGCAAGAAGCTCTCTCATCTCTGAGACTGGAGCCTGGATATATCTGGTTGACTAGCTTGACAAAGCTTCCATACTTGTCCAGAAAGTCCTTCTGCAACGTCAAAGGACATTCAGTTGTGCAAGACCAAAAAAAAGAAATTAGGAAAACTAAAATTAGAAACATTAGATCATTACTGCAACATATTGCCTATCTATTATGAAACTTACGAGGTTTATACATAGGACCTTGAGGACCCAACTTGAGCTGAGGATGGATGGTCAACGAACTGGCCGGTGACCATCGAGCTTGCAAAGGACGATGCAGCAAACCAATATCAACTTCACAGAAAATTTTGATTTAAGTGAACTCACGGCCCGATCGCAACCCTCACATATAAACCTAGAAGCTACAACAGCGGCCCATCAACAACCCTCTAAGCATTGTTGACTGTTGCAGTCTATTTCCGTCACACCCCCCCGTCGAAATTGGCAAGCAATTAGCGCACTCAATTTACAGGATGGAAAAATATAAATGCTACAAGATGCAAATTAAGAATTATGAATATCAGAGTAAGTTAAATCTATCTTGGAGCCAAAGCACACTTCAATGGGTTAAAATTTTTGAAATTGTTTGGATATTTAAATTCAGAAGAGATAAAAATCTCAAAATTTATCTTGAAATTGTGATGTACAATGACAAGTTGAATCTTTAATTTCGCGGTTTACCGCTTTATTATTGATCTTGTATCTCTTGAACATCAACTATCTACTTATATTATTGATATGCGCACGAATGATGAATTCACATTATTGACTAACATTATTGATCTTGCAAAACATATGGTAAAGAACAAAAAATATTATGTATCCCTTTATTTATAGACTTGATATTTTAGCACTGACTTTATCATTTGCTATTTCTACAATGGAGTGAGCATTTTCTGTAATGAACGTTATTAAGCATCATTTGCATAGCAAAATAGATGATGTTTGACTCAATGACTGTCTAATGTCTTATATTGAGAAAAAATATATTTGATTTTATTTCGAATGAAGTCATTATACAACATAATAAGAAAATACAAAGTAGAATACAAATTTTATAAATTTTTTTTATTTCATAAAATATAATGAATTACAAGACTTTATTTGGGACTGAAATTCTCACCGCTCATATGCCGACTCTAAAAAAATGATAGGTATCCGCCACTGCTTGCCGCCCAGACTCCTATTATTGTCATCCACCCATGCGTGAGCCAACATCTCCTGCACTAACATATGTTGCCTGCTTCCGAAGTCATCGGCTCAATCTCTTCCCAGCATCCTTAACTTCTCATCCTAGCGATATCATTCAAAAATTCGAAGCCCACAATCACAATCCCAAAGAAGGAAAACATTCTTTCCCTTAGCTGCTCTCCTCTCCTGTGAGATTTCACAGCCATTGTCAGTTCCTCGGCTGCACAGCCCTACTATCATCGCCATTCTCAAGCCATACAAGATGAAGTTAATGTGCAGTTACACTATAGCATGATCATTTACGCTCTCATTCTGATAGTTATTAAAAAATAAAAATAGCAAATTACTCTTAGTTACGTAACAGAATACTCTGGTTTAGACAATACAAGTGAATTCGTCAAATTATTAGAAAGTAAAAAAATAAATCTATTGTATGATATACTCTGCATCGTCCTGTAAATAACAAGTGCTTACGCATGCTGGCATCAAAGAATGAAACAGACTATGCATAATCTGGCATGAACTTTCTGAGGAATGTAACTGGCTGCGCCTCTTCCGGAGCAATCTTGTCGAAGGGAAAATAGAACCTTTCCTTGTTGTATACATGACAAGTGGTCATTATCGTTTTCATCAAACGCCAGTTCCAATTGGCTTCATTCAGATACTTCATGTAGGTTCCAAGATGAAAATTTTCAGTGTTAGAATACATTACTGAAGCAAATGTCAATTCTGCTTCTTGTTGGCTAGTCAATAGAAAACGTATTATTTCTTTTCACATTTTGTATGCATAAAAACAAATAAATTAAATTAAGGAATCGTATTAAATTTAAAACCCATGATGATTTCCAATTACATCAAAATAAGATGGAATCTAGCAAATTCAATCACTTTTTTAGAACTTCTATTAGGGACGTTCAACAACATTCATATTTTCTAGGTTTACCACTCAATTTTGGATGTTTGTACCAAAAAAATCCTTTTGCTGATGTTATACCAGTATAAATCCTTTTTTTTTAATCCATGAAGAACCAAATGGGCAATAAAATCTTAAATTTACCTTGCCCCAGTTCTCTTGGAGTGAACGATGTGCCTCCCGAAGGTTGTAGGATGGAATCCTTGGAGAAATGTGATGGGGAATATGCACATTGATATCATGGCATAGAATCTCTATCCTGTTAAGACAATATTTTTCAGAAAATTCAATTTTGATCAGTCGAATAAAATACAATGAAAGCACGATAAGTACTAACTTGAGAAGAGGATGAGAAAGATGAAGTCTGAAAGACACACCATCGAGGGTAGTTACAGTGGACTGTTCCATTAAGTTGGGCTTGAGCAGCATTCCATTCATCTGAAGCCTTGAAAGGTATGTGAGGAGCAGTGTGATGAACCATAGTGAAAGTACTCATCTATGAAATTCAATAACTAGCAGGATAAATAATTGACTTCTTAAAATATTAAGTTTTATTCAATATGAAAAAAAAAGTGGAACATAAAAACAGGAAGAATGTACCCAAAAGTGATATACTAGCCATGGCATGAACCATAACTTGATCCATCCCGCAATACCAGCCTTATAAATAATCAGCGGCCACCCAATCATAATGAAAGCAAAGACACATGCCAAACTTATCTTAACACGTCCAACTTCATTTGGTTTGAACTTTCTTAAATCAAAGTGCCACATCAACCTAATATTGTGCTCGAAAAGATTAAAATCAATGAACAATATAAGAAACATTGATGGTGCAATTTAAGTGGATAAAATCCTATTAAGCGTATAAACTATAACAAGATGGCAGTTTGCAAGATACCAATGAGCTATTGACATCCAAGGTCGAAGTGGACCATAACCGAAGATTATTGCCTTCCTCAGAGATGGGGATGCATCAATTTCCTCTTTTAAAATGGGATGCCAGGCAGTATCCTCTAATAACCTGGAAATTCACAGAGAATCAATTTAACCCGTTCCATTCATTAACAGAAGCCAAGGATTATGAAAAATATGATGGACACGTTCACAGAATTAAAATATGAGAGAACCTTCTATCAGGCAAAAATCAGAAAAATACAAAAGCAAAAAGAGTAAAATAAAATAACGAGAAGAGAGAAACAGACATGTTTGTTTTGGCATGATGCTTGTCATGTTTGAAGCGCCACGGTTCATATGGATAAATAAGAGGCAAAAAAGCCAGAGTTCCAACTATGTCTTCCACCAATTTATTCCTTGAGAAGGACCTATGCGCACAATCATGGCCTACCACAAAGAACTATAATACCAGTATTATGAATAAATTTTACAGTAAAAAAGAACATAAAACTATTTATGAAACAATCATGCCGAATCACAAAAAACTGTATACATTTATGTTAAAAATGAATGAAAAACAAAATGAGCAGAAAAGCGTTAGTAATTATGAAGAAATGCATATTGATCTAAACTATATTTTCTCCATAATTATTATTCATAGAATGCTGAGGGAAACTAACCCCCGTAACAGCAGTTCCGGTCCATGCCCATGCAAGCGGGAGCAAGTACCATGGAGCTTTTGTAATCATCCAAATTCCCAAAGCATAAGAAACAAAAGACACCAAAACAGATCTCCAGGCTTTAACATCATCAATCTCAAATACCTTCAAAGAAGAATTTCCCTTAGACTGAATCAAGATCATCATCATTAGCCTGATCCCAACTACTTGGGTCGGCAGAGATTGATTTAAGATATGTTTAAAACTTATTATGTCAATTGACCTTTTTCGGGAGGGTTGTAATGATGTCTTTGAGCGTAACATTATCAGGAACTGCTTCTCCAATTTTAATAAAGCCGTAAGTTTTACACATATCACTTCTTATAATATCATTCACTTGTAAAGAAGGTGAAATTGGGATAACATAAGCCCGTACAACTTTAATCAGTTTCTTGCTGGAAAAATTTATATGCTGATGTCTCACTCTCTGATGAACTGTCAAAAAAAACATGCCTGTTAAAATACATAAATGATTATACATGAAAAAAGATTAATAACGTAAACGTATTTTAACCAATATTTGATGCTAACTGAGATAATGGTACTCTATAATCCAGCGGGTACATGGGCAAGGGCCATAAAAAACAATACCCCAAAGTTAAGGACAAAAGTTTTTCAGATGCTCATTATGCTAGCTAGACAGCCCTTTGTTTATCCTAATCAAGCCTCTAAAAGCCAATGCTCATCATGTTAATAACGTGTTTTTAAAAATGTTCCATAAGATAATCAATCTTCAACTTATGCCCACGAACATTGCTGCACTTTATGTTTTATGATGTCTCTTTCCAACAACAAATGAAAATAAACTTTATATAGTACAAGTGAAATATTCAAAAGGCACGAGTTACCCACCATTTGCAACCTAATATCAAGATTGATCACAAAAGTCTAATAAACCGAATCCCCTAGCCTAATCCCCATTTTTTCTCCCCCTTCCCATTTTGACCACCAATGCAATCATCTCTGCCCTGCACTCACTCAATCATCTCCATATGGTATCTCTCACTTCTTACTTCGCGCAAGTCATCTTCGTCGGACTCACCTCTTCTCCTTGAAATTCCCGGGGTGGAACCACTTTGAACTAAGGGTGGACAATTTCCTATCCTAAAAATTGAGTTTTGTTTATAAGGGATGACCTCCCACGCCCCCCCCCGCCCCCCCCTCACACACACACACAAACTCTATCACCTCTCCTCTTTCACCACACCACTTCATAACCCATCATCTGTAACCTACACTCCACCTCCTATGCATCCACATACTCAACCTCTCCACCACTTTCTTCACCAAATGGTTCCCACCACTTGTCATTTTAAAGCTGAAGTCATACTTACTATAACTTCAGATATTTTATTAACACTTGCCTAGTGCCCGTATTTATGACTATTTGCATCATGAGATGTAAATGCTTATTCTTCTATAGCTAGTATAGCGTAAGGTTGTGCACCCCTATATAGTGCTACATGTGTCAAAACTTTTTTTTCTATCTGAGCCCCCATATTTTTTTAAGCTTTCAATCCAAGTTTGTGTGAGATCTGAATAGAGTGTTTTAACGGAAGCTATGATAATTTATTTAAGTTGATTATTAAAAATTTTAAATATAATCATATTTACAAATGTTGCGTGCAATATGATTTATGATTTCTCTATAACTAGTATGGCATGAGGTTGTGCAGCCATATTGAGGATAAGAGATTACAATAGTCATTTAGATCTGATCCTCAATACTTTCTATTATATATTAGTCCAAGTTTTTATGTTTGATCAGTACAAGAAGGTATTCATTCAGTTTGGAGTTTCCATATCAATTTAACGTTGTAGCTAAAAATAATGTTGAAGCAACTGTTCTCCACTTGCTTATTATTCTTCTACATTTCTGCAATTTCACAGGTTTTACTGTTTACACTACCAACTTAATCATGTATTGTTAGATTACTTCAGTTTATTTCTGGGTGGCGGATATGGTTTTATTATTATTGCAGATTGTTGGATTTACATTGTTGTTTTAATAATAATGTGGATTTCAAGATTGTTAGTTACTAGATTATGTGGTTGTTATTCTAGTGGATTTATAGATACTTGATTGATTTCTTTATGGCTCGCTTTCATACTGGATGTTATATGTATAGCTAAATTGTAATTCTTCCTGGATTGATTTCTTTGCAAATAGATATCATAACAACGTTGCATTTGGAGTTGTTGCCTAATGAGTATTTAGAGAAAAACAATTTGCTAGACAAAAGCTATAAAGATTTATTTAAGTTAATTATCATGAATTTGAAATATAATCATATGTACAATTGTTGCTTGAGATATGAATTAAAATTCTGGCATGGCTATAAATCCTTTTATAGGATAGAGAAATAAAAATTTAAATGTTAATCTGAGTTACAAACTTTCAATTAATAAGATTGGAGAATTGAGGACTAAAGATTTCGATCAAAGTGTTCATATTTGTATAAATTAGAATTCAATTTTGTCATGCATTTATTATTATTAGTTTGGATTCATTTAATAGTCATTTGCTAAGTTGCAAATTTTGATTATAAATTTATTATTGTAATCATAAATTTTGAGTAATAATAATTTGTAAATTTTTTATATATGTATTAGCTTGTGAATGCTTAATTTATAAAAAAAAAAAAAAATTTAAGTTTTACACTTTTTTAGTAATCTAGCCAAAATCAAGTCAAACACACTCATATATATTAAAATGAATAAATAAGAACAATAAATTCACGAACAAGAGCCGATATTGAACAAGATAAATTTGAATGAGCTGAATATGAATAAAGAGCCAGCTTACTCAAGCTCAATGCTTTTAAACCCCTAGCCACATATATGATATGTAATTTTAGTTGGCGCTATGTTCATAATTATCATTCAATATTATTGAAATATAAAGTAATACATAATTATAAAAAATCAAATATCTCGAATATATTATACAAAAGAGTAATGATATAAATGATGATGAAACTACTGCAATTAAGGTTGGATAGTTAAAATGAAAAAGTGCATCAGAAGTTTTGTGTGATAAGAGGATATCATTGAGGCTTAAATATAAATTTATGAAAAAAAAAAGATGTGGATAATTATGGATTTGAATGTTGAACTAAGAAAAAAAGATATTCATATCTAAGTTAAGCATGGTTAAAAACGGAACATTAAGATGCATATGTGGCTAAACTAAGGAATTATTACATTAAAGGAAAGATTGGACTGACAAGTATTGACAATAAGATAATTAAAAATAAACATAGGTGGTTTGAACATGTACATGAAAGAGTAAAAAATGCATTCATTAGACGAGCTCGAGTAGATAAAATTATTATGAGAGGATTAGGAATGAAAAGGGATAGAACTAAGATTACACAAAAATAAATTGTGAAAAATAAATTTAACATTTAAAATAGTAGTTAACAAGACGGTCTCCCGCTGATTACGATCCTCCCGACCTCCGTCGCTCGCCGACTACGGTCCTCTTGACTTATGTCGCCCGCCTACTACGATCCTCCTGCCTTACGTCGCCCGCCGACTACAGTCCTTTCGCCCTCCGTCGCCAGCCGATTACGGTCTTCTTGACTTACGTCGCCCGCCGACTACAGTCCTTCGCCGCCAGTTGACTACGGTCCT